ATTATATATATATATATTAATACTAGTTTTATATTATCAAAATTAATATTCTATCAATATATATATTTTCTAAAAATTTTTGATAAATTTATAGATTTATAAACAGATATAATTAATTCTATTATTCTTCAAAAATGTAATTATAGGTATCGATATTTAATCTATTTCATGTTATAAGAAATCTATCCCATCTACCCATAAGTATTAATCTTAATAATACATATATAAAATAATCTAATTCTATAGAAATCGAAATTTTTTATATAAAATTATCTCAATTTTCTATTTATAAATATTCCTAATATCAAAATAATAGATATGAATAGAATATACAAAATTAAATCATAGTTAAAAGAACATGAATCGAGAACCAAGAATATATAATCCAAGATCCCCTGAAAAATCTTGAATTTTTCCATTACCCGCCGATTCGAGGGGAATTCAGAAAAATGAATCGAAGAGATCGAATATATCAAAAATCTAATCGATAAATGCCTATAAACGAATATTAGTCCTGCATTATCGTATATCAATCCAGCAGATAGGCTTGTAAGGACGGACTTAATGAAATTGCAGATGCAAGTTCGTTCGTCTCACGCAACCAGACCTAAAGATTTGAAAGTACGAGGCTCTCACTCTGTGATGAGCTCACACAACTTCCTTCCCAGCCGAGCCGTTGCAGAAGAACAACAAACATAGCACTATGAAGCTAGGTATAGCCAGTCTCTGTGAAATCACCTGCACTAAGACCAACAGCCTGCACAGATCTGTACAGGGAAGATCTCGCCCACTGACAAGCCGAATATAGGGGCCTTAATAATTACCCATACTATTTTGGAGGCTTCTTATTATAAGTATCGTATCTTGGGCCCCAAAGCCCTATTCTGATTATTAAAGCCCCTACGTTTACTTTCTCTCTGGCGAAAGACTGTGAGACGCCGGCTCTGACCGAACTGGCTCGTTGTGCTGCGTTTTCTGAAAATGGGGATCTGGACCCTGGGATGCCGGACCTAGGGTTTAGGGTTCAGGGTTTAGGGTTTAGGGTTCAGGGTTTAGGGTTTAGGGTTTAGGGTTTAGGGGTTTAGGGTTTAGGGTTCAGGGTTTAGGGTGTAGGGAGTTTGGCCTCAGCCGCGTCCCAAAACAACTCTGCAAAGCTGGTCCCAGAACTGTTTCAAGTCGTGAAAGAACGTCGCAATGAAGAGGAGCACTATGACGACGAGAAGCGCCGCAGCACCAGGAACCCCGAAAGCATAGTACACATAAACTCTTGCACTCGCCACAGCAATGCCCACGAGGAAGAGAAGCGATACACCAACCGTCTGCATGTAGTCCATGGCGCGACTTCTAAATCTGGGCTGAGCATAGTGTCTCGTGAGGATGAAGAGGATTTTCAGAATGGCCATGATAATCAAGAAGGACGACAGCACCTTTACAGTTCACTTAATTTAGGGGCCTAAATAATTACCTAGACTGTTTTGGGGATTCCTTATTATGATTATAGCATAATGGGCCTGTCCCAGCACGTGGGCCAACATCATGTCGCTGGGAGCTCCTGCGAGCCAGAGTGCTCCCAGGACGTCCGCTTGAGTTCCGGCGTTAGGCGAAGATGCCAACAAGCAGTACGACATGGGAGCCTGCATCTCAGCGACCACTTGCACCAGCTCCTCCCGCAAAGGCCCGCGAACGTATTGTGTGAATGCGTCGGCGCTTCCATACCACTGGCTCACCGCCGAGACAATAAACTGCTTGTCGAAATCACTGGAACACGAAACGAGCTCAAGGTCAAAGTTTGCCATGTCCTGAAGGCTGCGCTCTTGCTCTTGGAAGCCTCTCCGAATTGCATGGACGCCGGGCACCAGAGCAAAACCGCCGACAATCCCTGAGATGAGGATTAACCCCCTGGCTGAGCCGGTGTTCAGGAACTGGAATATGCCTCTCTTCTTCCATAGCTGGGCCCAAAAAAATTCAATCTTGGTAAGATACACCTGTATACATTTTAAGGGTAAGATATTACAGTTCTCCCATTGGCTAAGATGCAGAAGGTCACGTAAAGGCAGACCCAAAGCACGAAAAAATGACGCTCGACCATCAGCGGCTGGAAAACGATCTTGCCGTTTGGATTGGCCCGGCGGTATCCAGCGAGCTCGAATATGCACCACAGTCCTGCGCTGTTCAGGGTTTAGGGTTTAGGGGTGTTCTTACTGAAGGCACTACTAGTGGCACTTGTCCTTCTGCCCAATCGACTAATAACTAACACCAAAACAAACATCTTTTCAAGATCGGCCCCGAATCTAGACAAGTACGGCACCGACCACAAGATTCGTAGCTCTTTGGAAACGGTCATGTAGCCGCCGATGCCATATACACCTCGTTCGCGCATCACCGGATCCGTTTGGTGAATGCATGCAACATCGTAGAATATGTCGAAGCTCGGACAGGGCAGGAGGGGAGCGCAAAGTAACGCAACGAGCGAGACCACGAATGCGAACAGAGTCCCCCACGGCCCGCAGGGAATCACTCTCGGGAACAATGTGTACTGTGACGCAAATCTCAAAGGCATGGGCAACATGTCCAGCCTATACATAATCATGATCACCACGCTCGCCGCAACCGCAGCAACTACGGCATAGTGCCAGTAGAAGCGAAGTAATAGAGAAATAAACTTCTGATATCCCGGTGTCCACCAGGTGTGAGACACAAAAGCATCGAACGAGCTTGCTTTCTTGGAATGCTGCCATAGCTTCAATAACTGGTCCTGGCTCATCTTATTCGGGTGTAGTCGCCAGAGATATCCAAGCGCACGCAAGGTGTCTGCCAACGGGACTGCACGTGCGATCTCGTCGTCAAGGGCCAGTTGGGCATTTTGCTCTAGTCTGCCTAGTCTGCTATGCAGCCCTCGAGGCTCCCGCCGGACTTTAGGGTTTAGGGTTTCTGTAGCAAACTGCGCCCCATGCATTTTTGGTTCGAGGCTGTCCGGATTCTCGTTCATTGGCTCTCTGTCCACGATGTCCGCATCGCAATCGAATGTGCACATGGGCTCTTCCGCATCTGCAAGGCCAATCAATGAAGGAGCCGTTCTGCGAGACGCTGCGTGGTCTGTATCATCTCCAGTCTGAGTGGCGCAGCAGTTCAGCTCCTCATGAAACGCTGCGGCTCCCATGTCGGGATGACACACTGCAGGACGGGGAATGTAAAGAGCTTGAGTAGTAGAAACCACGCGCATCCAAGGCGGCCAACAAGACTACGATACTAATAAATCTAACAGCCATAACAGTCGTTATCATCGTAATGATAGCAGCAATAACAATCACAACTGCAACAACTATGTAGATATACGGGCAGTTATCTGCGCATTCGCCCGGACACCCTGCTATGAGTGGCCCCACATGCACCACGTGACACGTGGACGGGGGCAAGATTGCATGCAAGCTGTTCAGCTAGTCCGCGAGCAAGTGGGGCAAGATGACCAAGACTGCAAGATTAGATTAGCAAGACTGCCGGCAATCTTGCTTTTGGACCAAGACTGACCAAGATTGCAAGATGACCAAGATTGCCAAGACGGTCCCACAAAATAATTGTTCTAAATTCCCGGCCCAATGTACTAATAACTAGTAACTGTTTAGGCCCCTATATTAAAGCAGCGCGAGGACGAGTCTCTCGGACCCTGCATGTGATACAGACGGTTTAGGGTTTAGGGTTGAGAAGCGTCCGTCCAAGCCCAGCTTCTGCGAGAAGCACACCGAAAGCGCAACGAGGAACTCTAAACCCTAAACCCCTAAACCCTAAACCTACTCCCCCCCGTGAACCCTGAACCCTAAACCCCTAAACCCTAAACCTAACGCCCCCTGAACCCTAAACCCTAAGAGTGTCAAGGCTGGTATGGCGCACAAGAAGTCTCCTGCCCTACAGGGCGGAAGTGCTGCGATGAGCAAGCAAACCCAAGTTCTGAAGTTTTTCTGCTCCATCCGGCCTCTCTGTCAGCAGTGCCTCAGGGGTTTGAGGGTGTAGGGCTTAGGGGTTTAGGGTTTCAGAGGGTTAGAGTTTAGGTTTATAGGGCCTAGGGTTTACAGCTTGCGGTCAATATCTTTTTGACGATCTGTGCTTCGAGCCGCAGCCACACTGTGCGAGCACTCCCATTCCAACACGAGCTAGGTTTCGCGGTCCCATCGCGATGTCCTTGCAGGTACAGCCAAACGCACCCCTCATTCACGGCTAGTCGACGCCAATTCATCTCAGATGCTCTGTGCGTGAGTGGCATTGAGGTATTTAATCCCCGCTGTGATTTTTCGTGCTGTTAGCAACAAGCAAATGATGTGATACAATAGACGAACAGTCAAGCAAGGTCGATGTCTGACCAAAATCCGAAACCACATGGGTAGTTCTCTAAGTTGGCATCCCGATTGCGGTCCTTTTTGTAAGGGTGGCGTACGGAGCTACCCACATGATGCCAAAAGAGCGGCACCGAAAGCCAGATCCTAATCTCGATATCCCGCAACCCGGAGGGACAACTCTGAACCCGAAAAGCCCAATCTCTATAACGTAGAGGCCTCAGTAATTGGAATAGGGTTTGGCGGTCCATTATCTTATAACAAAAGGATCCCCAAAATAGTGTTTGAAACTATGAAGGCCCCTTTATGAGGGTGGCCGGCCCCGGCTTGAGGTCTTCATCACAAGCTCATCTGAGATGCTACGGCGTCCCAAAAAGTGCAGCAGGCCTGATGAGAAGTTGCGGTATATCTTAGGCCTTCTCAAGGTCGAGCGTCAGGGATGTCCGGAGCGGTTTCCGGTTGGGGCCGCTGTGTTTTATGTCGGTTGAAGGTTGTTTCTTCATGCTTCTGGGTATCATGCCCGCTGCGACGATTGCAGAGCTTCATCCGGCGAGCGGCTGTTCAATGCCAGCCTGCAACCAAAACTGTTGGGTCTAGGGTTTAGGGTTTAGGGTTTAGGGTCTAAGGGTTTAGGGTTTAGGGTTCCACAACCCGAATTCGGCTGTGAGGTTAAAAGGATGCAGCCAAAACTTTTGCATGCAACTGTACAATGGATGCTTGCACTGCCGAACAGACACTGCACTTCACTGGCCACGGTCGAATTGGAGAATGTTGTTTGTGACGCACTATTTCATAATGGCCCCTGCCCAGACAGAAGTGGAGTGTCATGAACTGAGATCGCAGACCAGCGGGCCATCATTTCTTCTTGGCAATACCAAGGATCCACTTGCCGCTGTAGATTTTGAAATCTTCTTCCTTGGCTTTCTTCAGAAAGACAGTAATGTAGCGTCCTTAATATTCGGAATTGCAGATTGTGGTAGATTATAATGTAAGTTCTTATTTGATAACACCTATTGTGGCATTTATAGGGGCAGCACCAAAAAGTAGGCTTTGGTAGGTTGAAGATAAAACTTAAACAGCCGAGGAGTCAAGATGAACCAGAGCCAAGTCGGTGACAGAGTTGACTCTGGCAATCACCTCCTCGGGGGCCATGAAGTTCAGCCATCTTCCATCCTCGCTGTTTGTCGGATCTCAGGGGACTTATGATTTAGGGTGCAGGGGTTTGGGGTTTAGGAGGTTGGAGTTTAGGATTTGAGGTAGTTGACTACTTGGAGGGTCGGTGGACTTAGTAGATGGGCTATTTTATAGACTTATAAGTACTACAACCCCAATTCGGGCCCCTTTTAGGGTACTTGTAAGTCTACCTATTACCTACTTACTGAGTCTCCCGACCGTCCAAGTACAGCTCCTGTCGGGTTCAGGGTTGCAAGTTCTGTGGCATAGAGGCTTGCAAGGCTTTTGGTGTACCCTAGACCCTAAACCCCCAAACCGTACACCCCTAAACTCCTAAACCCCAAGCCCCTGAACCCTAAACCGCAAACCTCTAAACCCTAAACCAAAGGGCCTTTCAAGGCTTTTGGTGTTTGGCCACATGGGGCTCAGGAACGAAAGCTTCAGGCTTTCAGGCTTGGGGTTCGCTAACGACTTAGAGTTTAGGGTTCAGCCTGCCAAAAAAGGCTCGCCAAAAGGAACCCCAAACCCCCAAACTCTAAATTCCAAACCTCAGTAATCAGACAAGAGTTCTGAGGCATATCTTCTAGTATCTTGATAAAGGCATGAAAATTGTACGACAATATTGTTTTGTTAATTAATATGACCCCTTTCTATTGCATTATGCCTAAGACCCTAAACAGCCATAGAACCCGTAAGCGGCTCCTTCAAGGAGCCCGGTACAGAGCCCGTCTACAACCCGAACAGGTAAACGTATGGATCTCTTAACGGACTCCGTAGAGGAACCCTCGCAGAACCCTTGAGTGAACCCCTTATACATTGCTTAAATGGCCCCTTGAAGGAACCCTGAAAGGAACCCGAAAAGGTCCTAGGAAAGGACCCCGTAAACGATCCCTTAAAGGACCCCTTTAAAAAAACCCATAAAGGACCCATTAAAGGACCCCTTGAAGGACCCCTTGAAGGAACCCAAAAAGGACCCCTTCAAGGAACCCTTAAAGGACCCCTTAAAGGACGTAAAAGAACCCCGAGGGATTCCTTTAAGGGAGCCCTGACTGTATAGACCTCAAAGCTGTTTAGGGGTTTAGGGTTTAGGGCTTTAGGGTTTAGGGGTTTAGGGTTTAGGGCTTAGGGGTTTAGGGGTTTAGGGATTTAGGAGTTTAGGGTTGAACCACTTCGGGGAGCCCGGAACTCGCTGCATCAACGTGTCCGGCTCTGGGCGATCCAGGTATGGCGGCCCCCGCGGGATCGTGAGGAGCAGTATTCCATCCTGCGAAGGGTTTGGGGCTGTAGGGGCTTTAGGATTACAAAATACGGTAGAAGCCAGAAAGTTGGAACATCATGATCCTCATGCCCTTAATGTAAAGTATAGGGAATCCCAGCACTAATCATCCTAAATCCATGTTCCAACTTTCTGGGGTTCACTATAAGGGTTTAAGGATTTGTCATGGTTTTGGGGCTTTTAGACTTTTAGGGTTTAGGGCTTATCCCATCCTGTGAATGCTGAGTCTACGACATGGGAGTGTAGGTTTGGGGTTTAGCGTTTAGGGCTTGGGGTTTAGGGTTTAGGGTTTAGGGTTTAGGGTGTAGGTTTGTTCCGAGTGCCCCTGAAGTTTAGACTCAGGGAGGTTTGGCCTCTGTGTCAGGAAGGCCTTTGAGGAGTCTTGTCCTAAACCCTAAACCCCTAAACCCTAAACCCTAATCCCCTAGACCCCTAAACCCCTAAGCCCCTAAACCCCTAAACCCGAAGCCCCTAAACCCCTAAACCCTAAACACCCTAAACCCTAAATACCCTAAACCCCTAAACCCTAAACCCCTAAACCCTAAACCCTACAAGGTTTCACGTACGATTTTTAGCGATTCGGGCCTACTTTGGGCTGGAGGCTGCAGAAGTCGGGGAATCGGGAAATCGGGAAAAAAGCCGGGAATGGTTTATGGTTTAGGGTTTAGGTTTAGGGTTTAGGGTTTAGGATGACACGGGCAATTTTCATTTCGGCCCTGGAAGTATTCCCTACTTTTAAGGGCTCGTTTCGGGGTTTACGGTGTAATTTTCAGGGATTAACGTGCTGGATTCTGGGCTTATGCTTTTGTTCATGGTGAAGAACTACATTGCATTTCGAGAGGATCTGAACCTAAACCCTAAACCCTGATTGCCGTGCTTCTGACTTGGGTTCAAGAAGCATCCCTAAGCCCCAAAACCTAAACCCCTAAACTGCAAAACCCTTATACCCTAAACCCCTGAACTCATAAACCCTAAACCTGAACCCCTAAACTCCCAAACCCTTATATCCTAAACCCCTGATCTCATAAACCCTAAACCCCTAAACCCCTAAACCCCGAAACTCAAAACCCAAAGTCCCCCAATCCTAACATGCGCCATCACGACTTGTGGGTAGTTCTCTAAATTAGGGTCCCTTCTGGGGGTCCTTTTGTATAAGGGTTCCGTACTATATTGCGGACC